AGAGGCACATAAAATGCTTATTCCAAAAGACAGCATGGATAAACAGCAAATTAAAAACTAAATGCCAATCTCGCTGTTAAATGCCGATTATAAAATATTTGTTACAATAATGGGTGAAAGAGTCAAAAACATATTAAATGAAATCATTCATTCTGACCAAAAAGGGAATGAACCCAACAGACATCTAAGAAATAACGCACAGATTATAATGAATACATTGGAATATTATGAGGCTCATCCGGAAAAGCAAGCAGCACTGATATTTGTAGATGCTCAAAAAGCCTTTGATAATCTAAATTGGAATTTTCTTACTAATCAATTGAATATTGTGAATTTTGGGGAAATATTTATGGGAATGATTAGGGCAATTTACTCCAACCAATCGGCAAAAATAATATTAAATGGGGAAACAATAGAGGATTTTAGTATATTTAAAAGGGTGAAACAGGGATGTCCCCTATCCCCCCTTCTATTTATTTTATCTTTGGAAATATTATTGATACAAATTAGGCAAAAGCAGGAAATAAAGGACTGAGAATTAAAAGGGAAGAATACAAAGTTCAATCATTCGCAGACAATTTGGCCTTTATCATAGAAGATGCTCTAGAGATGGGAATCATATTATTACAGGAAATTGAAGAATTTGGCAAGGTAGTAGAGCTTAAAATAAAGAAATAAAATAAAATAAAATATTAACTAAGAATCTTACTAACAGGCAAAACGAGGAACTGGAAGAGAAATTGGGGATCCAAACTGTTAAGAATGTGAAATACCTGGGAATTTGGTTAATGGAAAAATGTTCTTTGATAAAAGAGGACAATTAGAACAAATTACTACAACAAATACAAAAAGATTTGGATAATTGGGCGAAATTACAAATATTAATGGGCAGAACTGCTACAATAAAAATGAATATATTACCTAAATTTTTGTATCTCTTCCAAATGGTACCAATAAAACTAGGGATTTTTTTTTCCAAACAATTAAATAAAATAATAACAAAATTTATTTGGTTGGGGGAAAAAGCCCGAATAAAACTCAAACTTTTGCAAGATTTGAGAAATAAGGGTGGTTTTGGCCTCCCGGATGAGGACCCGGTTTGTGGGGGCAATAAACTGACTTTGTATTAAAAAAAGAACACCGCTTTTGTGGGGAGGCGAAAGCCCTACTAAGCAGGTGTATATACAAAAGTATGAAGAGTATTGCTTAATGCATTGTAAGCCGCCCTGAGTCTCCGGAAAAGGGCGGCATATAAATTGAACCAATAAATAAATTGTATTATCAAGTGGCAGCCATGATGTGGCTTAAAGACTGGATTAAATTGAACAACAAAAGGGTGTTAACATTCGGGGGCCACAATCTCCAACTCGGCTGGCACGCATTCCTCTGGGAGGGGAAGAATAAAGCCCATGCATATTTCCAGAAACACTTAGTAAGAGATGCCTTGATAAGCATTTGGGAAAAAATTAGGAAAAATCATTACATGAAAATTCCAATTTGGTTATCAACAATGGAGGCAATGATTTATCCAAACGTATTAGATTTAAATAAGGTGGTGAGCTATACAGAATTATTGGATGAACAAGGAAAATTAAAATCTGACCAGGACCTAAGGAATCAAGGAATAAAGATTGATTGGTGTCCCTATCACCAAATCAGGACAAGATATAAAAAAGATTTAGAACAGTATGGTATCTATGGAAAACAACTGGAATTGGATAAAATATTGCTAGGGACAGAGGAAAAAATGATTACCAAATCTTATAACTTCTTCCTAAAATTCAAAATGGAAGAAGAAACTGTGAAGGAGACGATGATAAGTTGGGCTAGAAATTTTGGATATAGTATTGAATTAGACTATTGGGACAAATTATGGGAGAAAAACTATAAACTAACGATGTTGGCAGCCTATAAGGAAAACCTCTACAAGATGTTTTATCATTGGCATTTACCCCCAGTAACATTGGCCAAAATGTTTCCAAACAGTTCTCCCGAATGCTGGAGATGTAGTTATAAACAGGGAACTTTCTACCACATGTGGTGGACCTGCCCCAAAGCCAGAAAGTATTGGCATAAAATACTTCCATTGGAAGAAATTACTGAACAAAAGATCGAACTGAAGCCAGAACTAGTTTTACTGGGCATCTTAGATGAGAAAATGGTTAAAAACTTTCAATATATAATATTACATATATTAACTGCAACCAGAATCGTTTTCACTTAAAATTGGAAACAGACTAATATTCCTTCAAAGGCAATGATAATAAGAAAGGTTTATGAGTGCACAAAGATGGATAGGTTGACTATGGAATTGAAAGGGAAAGAAGAATTGGAGTATTACCAAGTTTGGAGTAGATGGTATATATGGCTAGAGAATAGGAGTAAAATTAGTCTATAAGAATTATATAATATTGATGATAATATGATTGTATCGAAGTTACATGTAAATATTATAATTTAAGTGACTGTATAATATAGGATAGTGAATTATAGAAATAGAAATAGAACTTATGTAAATATGAATGTTATGGATGATATTGACACCGATATGGAATGCTGCAATAAGTGAAAAAAATAAAAATAAAAAAGGATTGGAAAAACACCAAGAAAGGGCTAGCAGAAGCAGTAGAAGCATACAAAAAACAAGCCGACAAACACCTATCTCTCCAGCCCCCCTTCCGTGTGAGGGATTGAGTGTACCTGTCAACCAAATATATAAAATTGAAATTGCCCAGCAAAAATCTAGGACCTAAGTTCTTAGGACCTTTTCTGATCGTGAAAGTAATTAACCCCGTAACAGTTCAACTTAACCTCCCACACATATTAGGGAAAGTGCATCCAGTCTTTCACAGCAGCTTGCTAAAGCCTGCATCTAGTTCAAGGTTGAGACCACAAACCAGACCAGCTCCCAAGCCAGTAGGGGAAACACATTGTGAAGTTAAGAGGATTTTAGACTCTAAATTACATAGGGGTCGATTACAATACTTGGTCCATTGGAAAGGGTACCTTTGTCTCAAGTTACCTGGGTTAAGAGTTGGGATGTGAAAGCAGATAGACTAGTAAAGCAATTCCATGATAAGTTCCCTGATAAGCCAAAGGGTTCTCCTGAGGGTGGTGGGGAGGTGGTTAGAGACTGACTGAATTAACTTCCTATGCTCTTCTTGTTTCAGGACACGCTTTTCAGTTGAGGGGGGGGGAAGCCTGTCAGCCCTGGAGGCCAGCTTCTCTTTGGATCTTCAGGGCTGCCACATCTAGTACATAGGGCTGTTGTGGGAAATTGGGAGGGGTTGATTGGAGTGGGTAGAGATAGATAGCCATAACAACATTCTTTTCTCTGGGAGTCAAGGACGTTCAGCCTGCACCTGGAGAGGCGTGACTGGGAAACATCTCTAGTTGGGATGGTGGATTAATTGGATCATGTGATGGAAATGTGGGTGCAGGGGACTTTCCTTTGGGTGGGGAAAACCCGGGGGCTTTCAGATTCGGGTTTTCCCAGATGTACCAATATGTCATCTCTAATAAAATGGAACTTCGAGGAATTGCCTGCCTCGGAGTCTTTCTTGGTTGGAGGTGTTACTTGGAACCCTGACAGAGGGTTTATTCATAGGGTCAATGGCATGGAGTTGGATTGCTATTGATGACATGCCAATTAGCTGTTTAGTGGTTGGCAACCTAGCGCTGCTAAGCAAGTGGAGCTAGCAATGCTTCCAGGCCTTGTTAGTGATTGACTGAGAGGAGATAGCTGCTCTGGGTTTCAAATAAACTACATATGCCATTGGTTTCTTCATATATGATTATTAATATTTAGAGTGTATATTTGGGGAAATAACTAATCTGGGCCTAACTTTTCTGGATGATTTATTAATCAATTAGAGCTATCCGACATGATATACTAGGAAATAAAAATGTCTAATTTCAATGATATTTATTCCTTTGTTCACAGAAATACCCATCAACCTAAGCATGACCAAAAAGCAAGCTATTTGGTTTTTTTAGCTGAATACTATCTGGAAGGTCAAGGCTTCCACCTTAGTCACAATGGAATGTTCTGTTTAATGAAATAGCCAGCATTTTCCTGCCAAGAAACAACAATAACAGGTACTGTATTTTTCGGAGTATAAGACACACTTCCCCCCCTAAAAGAGGATGAAAATTTGGGTGCCTCTTATACACTGAATGTAGTCCCAACCACCCACCGGCCCCCACTCTTCTGCCTCTGCACGTCTTCTCAAACAGAGCTTTCGGAGAGTGAAAAAGCAAGACGCAGAGGCCAAAATGGCAACCTGGAACAGCTGCTGCCTTGTCGGACCAGTCCCGCACTTCCCCTGCTGTACTTACTGGAGTGCCCTGCGACGATCACCTGCATTTTTGAAGCTGCGTATCTACTCCAACGAGGCATGTGCAAGTGTAGCGCGCGCACGCATGCTCACAACTAGTGAATCTGTTGCTAAACTTCACCTCTGGGAACAACTGATTGGGGGTATTCCACCCGCCAATCAGCTGCTCGTGCTGAATCAGGCTATTGTGCTGAAGCTGACCAGGCTATTTGCTAAGGATGCTAGCCAGATGAATACCGATGGATGCTGGTAGGCAGTTTTTTTCTTATTTTCCTCCCCCAAAACTAAAGTGCATCTTATACTCCAGAGCGTCTTATACTCTGAAAAATACGGTATTTAATTGAGAGTCCCAAAGGTGCTTTTTCAAGAGGCAACTGGACTTTCTTGTTTTTCTTTGAAGACGTTTCACTTCTCATCCAAGAAGCTTCTTCAACAAAGAAGAAGCAAAACATCTTCAAAGAAAAACATAGGGAAAAAAGCATATTGTGATTCATTTTTTTTTCTAATAAAAATATGTGAGACATGCAACAAATTGTTTCATCAAAATAATTTAGGTGCATTTATAGCAAATTGAGAATTCCTAACTAGAATTAAAGTTCCAACCCATGCATCTGTCTTCCATTTAAAATAGTTATTTATAAGCAATCACACAAAATACCTTACCTGAATGCTTCTGACATTTGAAGCTCGTTGATTTGACATATTTAAGCAATAGAATTTTCACTGCAAAAAACCTAAAATCAATTAAGGAAACAAAAAAATGATAGCAAAAACTTTATGGGTTATAATGGCATTCTGTAAGCAAGGTTTTATTACCTATAATTTGACCATGGTACTTCCTGGTAACTATAAATTCATCAGCTCAGATTATCTTTCAGACTCAAGTTTCAGAGTTACTAAGATACACCCACAGAATACTGCAAGGAACTTAGAACATCTGAAATTCATTACTGAATTTTTAATAGATCCAATGAGTAATATCACTTTCACAACACAATAGGAAAAGAGCACATGTTCCATCAAAGGCACAAGTTAATAACTATCTACATTATTTATTTACTATTTATTTCAATTCACAAAACAGAATTGCAAAAGCCTGGATGAAGTCTTTTAGTAGACTGTACCTAAAGATGATAAACAAACTCTTCAGAGGTCTGATAAGAAGGGAATTCAGAGAATAAAGACCACTAGAAATTACAAGAGCAGTGGCATTCTGTATGCTCAATACAACTTCCCATCTTACTGTGCCTATTGAAGTACAGGTAGTCTTCAATTTACAACAATTTGTTTAGTGACCGTTCAAAGGTACAGCACTGAAAAAAGTGACTGATGAACATTTTTCATACTTATGATCACTACAGCATTCCAATGATTTACATTTGGATGCTTGACAACTGACATTTATGACAGTTGCAGTATCCTGGGGTCATGTGATCACCTTTTGTAACCTTTTGACAAGAAAAGTCAATGGGGAAACCAGATTCACTTAACAACCGTTACTAATTTAACAACTGTAGTGATTCACTTAACAAATGTGGCAAGAAAAGTCATAAAATGGGGCAAAACTCACTTAACAAATTTCCCACTTAGCAACATAAATTTTGGGCACAATTATGATCATAGGTTTACCATGCCTTGTATGGCATGGCTTGGATATATACTGTTTTCCAGAAGCCAGTTTATATGTAACCTTAAATTGGGACTAAAAATAAATGCTAAGAATAAAATATAATCAAAATGGAAATTCCTCAATGATACAACTGCGTAGGATTACTTCAAGGAGAGGCAAACTTTCTTCCATGCCAGTTTTAAATGACCTCATTGTTGCTTGAGAAATCAGGACAACAGAATGTTGATGAGTGAAAATAGACTATCTTCTTGGACTGCAATCCCCATCCTCTGTTTTACTTGCTTAATTTTATTTAACAATAGAAATATTAAAGGCATTATGTCTTTAGATTTGATTGCATGAACAGGAAAGAGGCTAATAGTTAATAGAAACAGATGGTACTTTTATATTTTCATGGAAATTTTTCCCCTTTCACCAAAAACACTCTTGGAATCTCACCAAATATATTAATATTGCACAAGCATTGCAATGTTGGGAAAGAAAGTGAATTATCTGAGGTACCAAATATTTTGCACTAGGGATGAAGAACTTGTGCTCCTTTTAAGGTTGACAAATTACAACTATCAGCAGTTGGTCAATACAATTATATAAGGGGTGTAGTAGACAGGAACTTTGAGATTGACTCTTTATACTGTTTATCCCTCAAAACAAATTCCCAATTACCGTGTTTCCCTGAAAATAAGACAGGGTCTTATTTTCTTTTGAACCCCGAAATAAGGACTTGGCCTTATTATCGGGGGGGGCTTATTATTTTGGGGGTGGAGGCAGCACTGCTGCGAGCTTCATCATACCAGCACAGCTGGCATCCTGCCACTTGTGGCTGCACTGGTATGTTGAACCTCGCGGCAGTGCTGCCGTTCGTGCGTGCAACAGCACAAGCCTTGCAAAGTCCTGCTCCATGAGGTGGCGAGAAAAGATGGCAAGGTGAGCCATGTCTCACTCCACTCGTCTCGCTTCTCCCCCACCCCACCTGTCAGAAATGAGTCTTTGTGAGACTCATCGCACCACCACCTCGTGGAGCAGGACTTTGCAGGGCTTGTGCCATTGCACGCACGAACAGCAGCACTGTCACAAGGTTCGACATATCAGCGCAGCCATGAGCGGCAGGATGCAAGCTGGTGCCGGTATGATGAAGCTCACAGCAGTGCTGCCGTTCATGCATGCAATGACACAACAAGCCTTGCAGAGTCCTGCTCCATGAGGCAGTGGTAGCGGCAGGACACAGCAGGGCAGCGGCAGCCAACTGCTCAGCTGGCGTGAAGAACAGGGAGGGGAGGGCATGTCACCCCTTTCCCCCCCCCGCCTCGCCTCCTCACCTCATGTTGTTTGCATGGCAAGCAACCAGAGAAAATGTCGGGAACGGCTGTACATGCGTATAAGTAGTTGGTGGGGGGCTTATTTGGGGGAGGGTGTATTTTAACTCATGCACTGAAAAGCCCGATTGGGCTTATTGTCCAGAGAGGTCTTAGTTTTGGGAAAACATGGTAGAAGCTCACAAGTTGCTTTGGGTTTTAATTCCCTGCTTTCCTCCCGGCATGGTCAGTGATAAAGAGATGCTGGAAATTTTAGTTCAGACCTTGTCTCTACACATCTTTTTTAAACCATCAAATTAGTGTAAGGAAGTGAGCTTAGAATCCTACCTTGTTGCCTTAAAGACATTTTGGACTACATTCTGTAGCACCAGCCATAACATCTTATAATGTCAGCCAAAAGATCTGTTATGGGATAAATTATTTTTTTCTTTCCTAATATTACTACTTGCATTTATCCTGAATTCAATGGAGCTTCTTCTCCTGTGTACTTATACAGTACATAGGATTGCAGCCTACCTGAAACAATGTGATTTTACATGCTATACTCATTCCTTCCCACAGTTGCAACCAGGTATAAACAACAGTTTTTTCAGTTGCTGATAGCTGCAAGACCCTGTTCACTTTTGTCAATTTTGTGGGCTGCAGCTTGATTCTACAGTTGTTGAAATTCTTTTTTTTTTCCTCATTAACAATTAATTTCTGCTGTCCTGAACATAAACCTGCTTAGAATTTGTTCCTCACAATTTGAGAGTCCTTCAGGGTGCTTTCTTGTAAACTCCAAGTGGACTTTCATGTGTTTTGTACTGAGGAGAGGCTTCCATCTAGCCACTCTTCCATAAAGCCCAGATCAGTGCATCGGGTGAGTGACCATCGGGTTCTTGTTCACTTCTCTTACTAAGGCCCTTCTCACCCAATTGGTCAGTTTGACTGGGTGACCAGCTCTTGGAAGAGTCCTGGTTGCTCCAAATGTCCTCCGTTTGAAAATTATGGAGGCCACTGTGCTCTTAGGAACCTTCAGTGCAGCAGAAATTTTATTGTAGCCTTCTCCAGATCTGTGTCTTGCAATAATCCTATCTCTGAGCTCTGCAGGCAGTTCCTTTGACCTCATGGCTTTTGCTCTGCTACAGTATGCATTGTCAGCTGTGAGGCCTTCTATAGAGAGGTGTGTGCCCTTCCAAATCATGTCCAATCAATTTAGGTGAACTCCAATCAAGGTGTAGAAACATGTCAGCAATGATCAAGACAAATGGAGGGCATTAAAGCTAAATTTCAGGTGGTGTTGCAAAGGGTCTGAATAGTTATGTCAATGTGATATTTCAGTTTTTTCTTTTTAATAAATTTACAGACATTTCTAAAATTCTGTTTTCATTTTGTCATTATGGAGTACTGAATGTAGATTAATGAGAAAAAAATGAATTTCAACAACTGTAGAATCAGGCTGTAGCATAACAAAATTGACAAAAATGAAGGGGGTTTGAATACTTTCTGAATGCATTGTATATAGTATTATATATTTTCTACCCTTTCCATTGAAATCAGTAGGAAATTGTCAAGTTGTTATTAGCAATTCCCACCAGATTTTGATGACATAATGTTTGGGAGCTCTAGGTCAGCTGAGACTGTTGGGGTTACTGGGTTGTTCCCATCTGTTGAAGAACTCTGGGGCACAATTAACAATTAAGAGGATAATTTTCAGTGTTTTTCTTAAATCTTTTAAGACATAAAAACAGGTTGAGAAAATCCACAAATTATAGGTCACAGTGCAGTCTGATAGTAATTGAATAATTTCAAATTTAAATAATATGAACAGAATTTAACTAAATGACTGAAAAAACCAGTCCTATCTGGCATACAGACTTTGATTTCATGACTAAGTAATTTAGTAAGTACTGGACTTTACATGCCAAGATCCCTAGGATTTGTGATCCAGCATGAGGCACAGGAAGAAATAAACACAGGAGGGAAAAGTTCTTAACTGCTCTGCCTTGTCTAAAAATAAGCCCTGTGGGGAGTGCTGAGGGACATGCAGTTATTCAGCACCAAACTATTTCAATTTGCTTGGATAAAGTGGAGGTCTGCACGAGGTGCTTCTCTAATATCCATCTTTCCTACTCCTGCAACCCAGATGCAATTGAAAAGAAGCTGGATATGACATTGTTCTCATGCTGACCTCCCCATCTATAACATGTATAAAACTGGCATGGGTATTATGAAATGCATCTGTATTATTCTTTTTTAAGGCCTAGATAGAAATTATGCTGAATAGCAAGCTTACTCTGAAAGGAGGGAGAATACAACTCTATGTTGAAATGATTGCTCAAGTGCAATTCATTTCGTGAAAGGTCACTGTGACTCCAGAGTTAATGATAAGCATTTTAGCAATGAGAAAGAAATTAATATTTATGGGTTCAAACATTGAGTATTATAATTTTGCTTATTTGAACATGACTCTCTACACAAAGCCACAGAGAGAAAAAATAAACATGCATTTGGTTAGTTGTCACCAACTGTGCCCAGTAGGCTTTTATGAAAATCATACAAGAGCACATACATTTAGGAAACTGCAAAATCTCAGAACATACTTTAATTTAAAATTTTTTGCCTGTGTATTCAGTAGTTGCAGTAATAGTTAATGAAAAACATTAATGACCTGGTATAAAGAGAATCACATTCACAGCAACATAGCCCTTGTCCTTGTTCCCTAGCTATAAATGTATTTCCCAAGTCAACCTTTTATTTTTTAAAGCTGCCCCCTCCCTCTTCAACTCCCATTAAGTACCTGATTATTTATATCAGAAAAGTTCCAGCCTGTCAGAAGAGTGAATGCTACACCTCCCTTTGCTGCTGACTGAGGCACCTTAGGTCAGCTGATACCTTTCATGTGAAATAGATTAAGTTTTTGTGCAGTGGATACTCTCAAGGGAAAGGACCTCTGGGACTGGAATAGAGCAATCTTCAGAAGCCAAGTGTAATAGAGAATTCCTGTCATAGCTTGCAGTTGTTCTTCCTAAATATAGAATAAGATTCATCCTGTAACTTCATTCTGTCTTGAAACTATGGCTCTCAAGTGTCAAGCAAAAATATATGAGTGCTCAGTTCCAGGTAATATGTTGCTGCCATTTTCTCAATGTAGAAATGTCAGAAGTTTTTTTTAATAGTTTTGAATAAATAGTATTAAACATCCTCCTCCTCCTCCTCCTCTTAACATATAACTTTTTGCAGTGAACAGACCTCATGCAAATCTTCAGGCCACTTGTCAAGAAAAAAAATCATGGGAATATGATTCCCAGTATTATCTATTTTTTAAAAAAGATCAATGCATGAAATTTTAGAGTTTTTTTTTTTTCTGTACTAATTGGTATTCCATCTTGAGCTCTTTGACAGATATTCGGTATAAGAAAATGATGGAAGAAGCAATGGGAAACCAGGAGGGATACATCTTGCTCTTTTTGGATGAGTTGCAACATTGAGGTAAAAGTTGCAAAGTTGAGACACAGTGTCCTGAGATGGGATAGGGTTGAAAACACCATTTCAAGAATGGAGTCCCACGGGCTATCCATAGGCATCTCAGTTGCCAGAAGACCCTGAGATACAGGGCATGCAAACATGAAGTTTGGAAATGGCGAGTCCCCGGGCAAGAATTTGTTCTTAGTGTTTAATTTTGATTGCCTTGATGCTAATTAATTTTACTTAAAGTCTATAATCAATCATATCTCCAAAAGAAAAAGAAAAAATATCTATCCAGGGCCGGATTTTCCTATAGGCTAACTAAGCTTCAGCCTAGGGCCTCAAGATCAAGAGGGGCCTACACAGTGGTGGGATTCTGGGGGTTCTAGAGGGTTCGGCCGAACCCTTTGTTAAATTGCTGGCTCGCCCGCCCCTCGCCTCCCACCCGCGCGGCGCCAGCCTACCGTAGCCAGGGGTAGCAATTGTGACTCTTTTACAACCTGTGGACTTCAACTTCCAGAATTCCTGAGACAGCTTGGCTGTCTCAGGAATTCTGGGAGTTGAAGGCCACAGGTTGTAAAAGAGCCACAATTGCCCACCCCTTCCCTAGCCTGAGTTCCGCTGCCTGGGATCCACGTGGGCTGCCACGTGGTTCCCCACCGGCTCCGGACGCAAGAGAGCAGGATGGAGAAAGCAGCTTCCACGCCTTCACTCACCCTCACTTTCTGCTCTGTTGGATCACCAGCCGTTCGCTTACCCCGCCCACTCCCCATCTATTGCTGCCTTCGATGGCTAGAGGAAAAAAAAACTTCAAATTCTTGCCGCGGGGCTTCAAAGGGCCGCCCTAGAGCCAATGGTGCAGCCGAACCCTTTGTTAAATTGCTGGCTTGCCCCGCCCCTCCGCACCACTATTTATTGCCAATAAATAGTGGTGGGCGAGGGGCGGGGGAGCCAGCAATTTAACAAAGGTTTCGGTGCTTTTTTTTGTAATTTTATTGGCCCACGGAGCTTCAGCATAGGCTAATTGGCTCTCCGGCTCTCAGCTGATTTGTCTCAGCTGTTTTGCTCAGGGCTCTTCTGCTTTCTTGCAAAGAGTGCTGATTTTTTTTCCCCTAGCTTTGCTGAGAAACGAAACTGAAACTGCTTTGCTGTTGCTGCAAGGTTGGAAAATTAGGCAGGCAGAATTCTTTTCTTTTTCCTCACCAAAAAAGGTAGGTGAAAACGATGGGAAATTTAGGGGGAAAAAGAGGAGAGTTCAGGATTTTAAAACACAAAAGAAAAAAAGCTCTATTTAACTAGGGAATTGTAATAATTGAGATACTATTAATTGTATATTTCTGAAAGCAGAAATGGTTAAGTTGTGGTTTGGAGGAATATATGGGGGAAATTATTTGGTTTATTATTATTGGTAAATATAATTAATTGATTTGTAAGAAATTGGATTGCATGGAAATAATTGGAATATTCATGTTCATATTGATTAATATACAAAAAAGGTAGTTATATAACTAATTGATTTATATTAAAATGTTGAATTTATATTAAACAACTAATATTACATAATTAACCAATGTGAGGATGGATATAAAAATAGATGACAATGGGAAGGGGTATAATATAGAGTAGAAGGGAAAATTGAATTTAATTAAGATTAGAGATGAGGATGAAGGGTAATATTGGTTTTTTACAAAAATAGATGAGGAATAAATATGGCAAAAAGGAAATATAGAAATTGTAAATTTAATTGAAATGACTAAACACTGTTTAAATTTGTGAACCGGCCAAATACTCTGTTCAAAGAAAATACATTGTATGTTTGTATGTGTGTTTCTAATTATTGTTATTTATTCATATTTGTTCCCTTTTATTCTTTAAAGTTTAACAATTCATTCTTTATCTTAATATCTTTATATTTGTTTGGGGTTGGCTTTCTTCCCTTTCATCTTTTTTATTGTACAGCAATCTTTCTCCTCAAACCTACCACCTCTCTCTTTTCTTTCCTTCTTACTTTCTCTTCCTCCCCCTCTTCTTCTCCTCCCTACTTCCTCTTCCTTTCTCCTTCTCCTCCTCTCTTCCTCCCTCTCTTACCCTCCCTCCTACTCTAATTTCCCTTCCCTTCCTTCATCCCTCTCTATTGCTGTATCCTTTTATGCATATGGACTACTCAGAGGGCTGAAAAAGCTATTTCTGACTGGTCCTCGCACTTTTGACCAGTCCTCGAACTTACGACTGTCCTCACATTTTACGTTTTTGCCCTATCTTGTCACCATGGTGAAGAGAAGCAGTTGTGAAATGAGTGACATGGTTGTTAAGAAAGCTGCACGGGCATAAATGTGAGGATGGTCATAAGTGTGAGGACCGGTCAAAAGTGCGAGGCCCAGTCAGAAATGACTTTTTTCAGCCCTCTGAGTAGCCCCTATGCACATAGCCACGCCCACCTGGTCACATGATGAGCTAGCCACGCCTACACAGTCACGTGACCAGCTAGCCACGCCCACCCAGTCACATGATTGCCAAGCCACACCCCCAACTAAGCCACGCCCACAGAACCTGTTGTTAAAAAAATTGAATCCCACCACTGGTGAAAGGGCCTCATAAGTGGAATAGCCTAGGGCCTCTTTTCATCTAAATCCGGCCCTGTATCTATCTCAAAACACACAATATTTTTCAGTGCAAGCATCATATGTTCAAATGCAACAGAATAATTATAAGGCAAAGAAAGAAGAAACCATAGGAAAAATATACATAATAATGAAGCACAACTTCATTTCCCTCCCCCCCCCCATAATTGTTAATTGAAATAGGCCTTTCTAAAGTCTTGGTGCTGCTTTGCTAGAACTACATCAGATATATAGCTGATCTAAATCCAATTACTCTTAGATAGTTATAAACGAAATTTATAAATATTTATAAACCAAACTCTGCTTCCACTGCAAATCTGTATTCTGCCCAATCTTCTGTTTATTTTGGTTCCTGAAATACTGAATAGAGACATAAGAAGATGATTGTCGCAGTAATTATTAAAAAAGAGACTAGTAAGTTAAGAGCTTTTTCAGATGATTTGGTGTTTAAAGAAACTGAAACATTTATGAATATATTAAAAAGAGCCATGGTGGCCAGACTTCCGGTTGACATCACAGCAAGAACGGCTGGAAAATAGTGGGCTCTGCCAAGTCTCACAAAATCCAGCCAGTAACCACTGTTGGGAGAATCTACAGGGTCATAGCTACCTTGTAGGGGCAGTGAAGGAAGGAGAGGCACTTTGCTGATCACGAGGAGCTTGCAATTTCCTTGTTAGGTCTGCTCTCCCAAATGACAGCAGGGACAATGGCCTTTTTTGGCAGTTGCAAGCTGGGACAACCGGGACCATAAGATTTGTGCTGGAGCAGTTTGTGGGCAGAGCATTGAAACTGGATGAGATAAATACCAACTTTTACTCTAAAGACCTGATTTAAGTACAAGAATTTTAAAAAAAATCTCCTAAGCCTAAGAAAGCAGTGACTAAATACACGGAGGGAAAAAAAACCCCGAAAATCAAGAGGCAAAAAAAGCCCAAGGGAAGCTTTAAAACACAGAAAGCTTGAAAAAAGCTTAACAATTTGAAAGGTGATTTTCAGGAGAAACTGTCTTGTTTATTTGTATTTCTAAACCCCCTGGATTTATCATATAATCAGCTGTTTTTGACAGACTGTTTAACGTTGAATTTGGGAATAAGAGAGCCATTTACTGAAAGAAGAGAAGTACTACAGCACTATAGCCGCAGCATACTTAGTGAAAGTCAACTCGATACACACAAAGTCTAATATACATAATAGAAATAATAACTTACAGGTAAAAAAGGAATTTTTAAAAATCTTAAAAGAGGTCCCAGCACGGAAATAAGCAGCTAATTGGCACTTGGGAATTTTAATTGGAGGGAGAAGAACAAAGAGGAAGTTAAAGGACTGAAGCCCCAAAAAGAGAACTTTCTACCTGGACTTAAATTGGACTTGGAGAAATTAAAAATAATACAGGAAAAAGAAAACTGAGGGAAAGCACTCTTTAATGAAGATTGGAATTATTTGTGATAGTTTTGATATTGGAAGGAAGAACAAAGAGGAAGCTAAAACATCAAAGTACAAGAAAGGGAATTTTACAATTGGATTTAAAATGGAACTTGGAGAAATTAAAACCAAAAGAAAAAGAAATTGAAGAGAAAGTATATTTTATGTGGATTTAAAACATTTTTAAATGTGTTACTTTGTTGGGATTTGTGGATTGGAGAGGGACATCTGCTGGTGGAAAGAAGCACTACAATGATTGCTTTGAAAATTGAAGGAACAGCAATGACCTTGATTACCGTGGGACTTTAAGGAGTATTTGTTTCTTTTTAAACAGCTGGGTCTTGACTTTGAAAGGAGGTGAAAAATGACAAAGCTTCAAATTGGAGTGGACTAGATAAATATTTGAACGGGATATTATTTGGAAATAAAAAAAGAGACTACATG